TAGTAATCTAGTAATGATTTCTAGTAATCCATCCCAGAGCCTCACCCAGCTGAATCTGGACAGCAGGCAGGGGTGGACCACAAGATTGGGCAGCTTGTTCCACACTCAAACCACCCTTTGTGCAAAGAAGAGTCCCCTGCTCTGTGATTTAAGGGCATGTCCTTACAGTTTCCTCCGGTGCCCTTTGGTTCATTTTTCGCTGTTGATCCTGAAGAATTCGGCCAGGAGACTTGACCATGACCAGTTTGTTCACGAAGGTGTGTCCGGTATTAAAAATGTGCCTCTGCATTTCTTCTGTGAATCACATCCTCTGATGCAAGGGAATCCCCCCCTCATTAGCAGGGGAAACAGATCTTTTCAGAAGAGAGTTCAGTTCACAGCCACTGCCAAACAGTCTGTGGCCTAAATCAGTGTGATCCAGGCTTTAGCATAAAAATAGCAGTTTCTCAAGAGAGCACCAATACAGGCTCCCCGTTTAATCCCATTTCAGAAGTGAAATCGATTTTAGATTAAAAAAAAGTGAATAGATTCAATTGTTCTATTGTGCCATTTCTATTTTATGTAGCCTGCCAATAGCAGTTCCACAGCTGGTAAGGTCTGTACTATCAGTAATTCAATCTTTTACCTACTTATTTTACTTAAATCACTAGTGAAGTTACCTTTTTGACAGCCAAGTTATAGGTCAATGTCAAACGTGCTAATTTTACATTTGCATCTCTAATCAGAATCATGTCTTACCAGTTTCAATAGCTATCCATCTACAGAGGGGAAAATAGGCAATACAATAGCCATACATAATCTTAAAAACAATAAACACTTAAAACCAACCTTTTTTAAAATACAATAGAGGAGACCACAAAGACCTGGACAATCACTGGGCTTAAAAAGGAAATTTGAATATCAAATACAGAATCAGAAAAAAAGTTTATGTTTAGCAATGTGCTTTGATAAACAAAAATACAGCACGCTCAGATTGTCAGTCTCTAATTTTGGGCAGCCGTGCTTTAGAGAATTTTCTCAAGACAGACCCTGCAACCCCGGGTTGTGTGGGCTGTGAGACTACTGCAGCACAGCTAGAGGTTTGCTCTCATTGAGACGTTTGTCAATTTGCTGGCCAGATTTAGCAGATTGCTCTTCAGAAAAACAAAATAATGAGTGGCACAGCGATCAGCATTGCTGCCTCGCAGCGCTGGGACCCTGGGCTCAATTCCTGACCTGGGATGCTGTCTGTGTGGAGTTTGCATGTTCCCCTATGTTTGCATGGGTTTCCTCCCCCCAGTCCAAAGATATGCTGGTAAATTAATTGGCTTATGGGAAAATTGGTGTTTAAAATTGTGTCTGTGTGTCCTATGATGGACTGGAGTCCTGTCCAGGGTTGTACCGTTGCTTGCTGGGATAGACTCCATCTCCCCCCAAAACCCTATACGATAAAGTAGTTAGAATGAGGTGGATGGACAGGAAACAAACGGACAAGTGCCACTGTCCCCAATCCCGCTATCACAACCACAATGCTGGGTTTGAGTTAGCACGGAGCCTAGACCATACGTCCATGCCAACGTGCTCCAAGTACAAAAGGAGACAGCAGGCTCGTCTTTCCTCACCTCCTTTATCTTGCTTCATCCCAATCCCAGATTTGAAAACTTCAAACATTCCTCACCTACTGTGCTTCCAGCCAGGCACAGCGCCGGGTGTGTGTCACCCAGGAGGGGGGTTGCCTTTCAGAGGTGGATGAAGTCAATCTCCTCATCCACTACAAACACATTCCCATTCTGGGTGCAAACCTGCATTATTCATGATCTCTCTGTGGGATCACAGTGCTACAAGAGTTGGCTTAAGGTGTCATGACATCTCATTCCACTTTTCTGTGGATACGAAGTAAAAGGCACGAGCCACAGACAGCAGTTTCATTAGCACTCATTAGCATATGTTACGCTATGTGCAATGAATTATGGGTAGGAACATTAATTAGGCCACTATTAATTTCACGTGCTGCTCTTGGCTCCCACCCCAAACCTGAAACCTTCCAATATAAATATGTCCAATTCCAGGATCACCTCTTTCACCAGGTTAAAATGAAGGTGAACAGCTTTGGAGAATTAGCATTATTTGAATTCAAAGCATGTACTCGTACACCAGATGACGACTGCAGACCTCTGGAGCAGGGGTCTAATTGGGTTTTCATTTGTAAGCTGGTGCAGATTCCTCTTCCCCTCCCCTGTATAGCAGGATCAGTCAGTGCAGACAGAAACAGTAATGCATCCAGCATACGTGTGTTCCATTAACGCCACTACATCCTTTCCGTCACATAACAATGTATAACCCCCAAGTTTTCATTCTTTGGTAGCATTGCTGTCTTACAGCACTGGGGCCCCTGGCTCAAATCCACACCTGGGGTGCTGTCTGTGTGGAGTTTGTATGTTCTCCCTGTCATTATGTGGGTTTCCTCCCACAGTCCTGAGACATGCTGGTGGGTTTCTTAGTTTCTGCGAAAACTGGTCCTGGTGTGAGTGTGTGTGTTTGACAGTGTGCCCCTGCAATGGACTGGCGTTCCATCCAGGGTGTACCCTGCCTTGCGCCTGTTGCTTGCCGGGATAGGCCCCAGCTCCCCCAAGACCCTGAATTGGATGAAGAGGATAGAAAATGGATGGATAGGTTTCAGACTCCAGAGTGTCTGCACACGTGTCTTCTTCAAGTGCTGCTATTTAATATTGAACACATTCCTAACAGCAGGTCAGATCAGTGCGAATTCTGGGCAGCCCAGAGCATTTGAAAGGTTCTGGGGGAGAAAACTGCTCATGAGCAGGATTAACCAGGGGCCAAAGGAACGAGACCAAAAACCTGATCATGCATAGTTTGACAATTAGTCAATTAATTAATTAACACACATATTTCTAAGCATGTAAGCTTGAAGCACACCCAATGAGGAAGAGATTGCTGTAGTCTATTTATCATAACTCCATGTCATAAAATATCGCTGCTGCTGCCGATATGC